ACAATGGAATCTCCTTGTTTTAAATTTGGGGGTTGAGCAGAGAGAGCCTGGATTTGGCTGCTGCCCAAACAGCTCATTGTGCAACTCAGTCGAAGGCGACTGCTCATATACAAAGAGCTTATTCTTGGCTTAGCTAGAATATAATTTTTGCCACTAAAATGACCAACCTAGGGACTTTAGTTAGTGAATAAAAGTGATTCGTGGTTCTCCACAACCGGGATTATTAACTGTGCCAGTTAGGAGCACTGGCAAAATGTATATAGATGAGAACAACATTGAACAGTTAATTTTTAAATCACTGCCTCAGTGCTGTGGTAATATATGTTACAATCCCTGAGAATGAGCGAAAGGAAATTTGCATTTATTATCTTCTTTTTCAACATTTTTTATGGCGTGTGCAGTACTAGGGGAAAAAAAAAGAATCTCTCTGCAATATTCTTCTCGTGTCCTGACTAGTTCAGCAGTGGGTAGTATAAGCAGATATTTCAGAAGAAATCTATGCGTGGATTTCTTTTCGTTGCTGAAATTTCTGCTTAATACTTGAGGCAAATGGGATCAGTGGCATGGTAGGATCCCTCTTTGAGGAATGAGGTGCGACGTTCTCTAACCGAGCACAAGCTCATAGTGCTGCCTTTCCCCATCTTTATGGTCTGGTGTTAAGGCATTTTTGGACCGTGGCACTACTTGCTTGAGCGAAAAAAACCCCAAACATAAGTAAAAGTCTAACTGGCTGTATCCTGAAGTATCTTACATACACTGCAACTTCGCCGTGCAATTCCAGCCCGTAGAAGTTAACCATCTGCTTGAAGAGGAGCTACAGTTTTGCTTTGGTTTTATCCTTTGAGTCCTGTAAAGTAATAAACATGGGGAATAAGATGATTTAGTTCTCTGCTGGTCAAGTCAGTGGAACACAAAGGTCATTAAGGCGGCTGGTACTTTGCATCTCTGTGGGGTGAGTTAGAACAGGAAAAGAGAGGAAATTAGCTGGGTATTCAATTATAGCTTCCAGCTTAGTTGTCCATCTTTTTACAAGGGAAAGGGGCTAGGAAAAAGAACCAAAAAACCCCACTTCATGCTTCAAAAGGAAAAGAACAATAGCAGCGAAACACAGATGAGTCAGTATTTATTTAATAATTACTGGAATTCAAAGAAGAGCATGATTCACAAATACAACCAGCCCGCAAAGAGCAGAAGGAATCCCAGTACTTAAGATTATGTGGCAATCATGTCTATTTATGTTCTATAAGAAAATATTTTAAAATGATCTTTTATTTGAAGCTACTGTGGCATCTGAGTGGGTAGAAGCTTTTTCTTTTTTTGGAGTTAAATGGTAGATACCTCAGGTCAAACTGAATCCTTTACGGAAAAAAACATTGGAGTTACACTGGAGTGAAGACTTAGGTGCTGTTACACACTACCCAGCTTCTACTTATGGCAAGACTATGGGTCAAGGGGCTGATAGAGCAGTAACGTACTTAAATAAACTGTGAGATTGCAATTCAAATGCTCAGTAGCCAGTAATTGCACGTTCATGTTTTACACGATACGGAATGTACAAGCCCAACATCTCTGACATAAAACCAGCTTATTTTGTTCCTAACATCCATAACTGATGCAATTTAAACACTTCTCTGAGAGCATATTTAAGAAAATGGGAAGCAGTATACGAGTGTTACTCATGCAAGCCTGTTTCAAGAGATTCTCAGCACAGTTATTGATAGGTTTTTCTTACATAACGTATGCAAAATGTAATTGAAATTAAATTAAATGTCAGCATGACACCATTAAACAGCTAACAGTTGCCATCTTCTAAGACAACTATTCTGAGCAGTAACTTCTTAATCAGGACTTTACTCACTCTTTTCCTTTATTTATTTTTTTGGTATTTTAGACAAATAAAGGCGATGCCCTTGCAAACCGTGTCCAGAACACATTAGGAAATTACGATGAGATGAAGGACCTGTTAACCAACCATTCCAACCAGAGCCACCTTGTAGGAATCCCAATGTCTGTCCCACAGACACCCATTGACAAAAATGAACAGAACTTTTTCCCAGAACCAAGAAACAGGATGATCCCATCTCATCAGATCAGCGGCCACTCATCAACATCAATGCCTCCGCCTTCTTTATTGTCATCTAATTCGACTTTGCTGCACGGTCACCAGAGCAGCAGGAAGTCAAGGACAGACTGGTCACGTGGTGCTCACAACTCCAGTGGGACCCAGCCGAGCCAATCTGGTAGTCAGCAGAGTCGGACAAAGCATAGCTCTTCTCATGACCAGCCACAGGGCAGGTATGAAGACCTCTATAATTGTCAGAGCGAGCAGCATAAAAGTGGAGGAACTGAGGAAACAAATTCCGTGGCAGCATCTTCACATTCGAGGAGGCATACTCATTCAAAGTCAGCGGCTGGAGAACATACGTACAAAGAAAACAGTCATTCGAAGTCACCCGGAGAGCTTGAGTTTGTAGGTCACGGTCCTGGATCTCCACTTCCTTCCACATCTTTGTTATCTGCAAACAATGGTCTTTCGACCCCGAATTTCCCACCAGGACTTCACTGTAAAAACAGCATGGTCCAGCAAAAGCCTACAGCGTATGTCAGGCCTATGGACGGTCAGGACCAGGTACCCAACGACTCACCTGAACTGAAACCTCCGATAGAAATTGAGAGTGGATATGGAAATCAGTCCTTTGGAACACTCCTGGAAGGAAAAGTGAACACGCCTAGTTCGAAGAACAAAGTACCAAAGCTCAACATTCCTCCTGTTACTGAAGTAAGTAGTTTTAAATATCTTCTCTCTCGTACTGCCTGAGTATTTCCTGCACTGAATATTTTCCTCTGGAAATATGCAGGTCCATTTCCTGGAATTATGGTTATTCTTTTTTTTTTTCCTAGAATGTGCATGACGACTTTTGGCAAAGTTTGTTGTGATAGTCCCAGCAGTGATATTTAATGAAGTTTTAAAAGCACAGTTTGGAATACTAACATTGCTTGTTTCCAATTAATTTTAAAAGGCTGGATCTCTCTTGGATGCAATACATTTATGCCAGCTAGGATTCTGGACGGAGAATTCTAATGTCTCAATTCATCTGCAGTTTGCACTCTTCTTGCATTTTCAGTTAGGAGCTAGGTTGATGGAAAGATTGCTGTTTTAAACTCTAAGGAAAAATGGCACTGTTCGAATTTCAGTGGCACTAAATAGTTCTACCTGCAAGGAGTTTATTTGCAGAGTTTGCTGAATTCCCATTGCTTTTAATGGAATTAATGTGGCTCGAGTTCTCAGCAGTGCTCATGAAAATGTGTCCCGTTAAAGCTTTTATGCATTTTGAAGAGCTCTTAATGTTGGGATTCAGTTCCAATCTGTGCTACCAACAGTTTAAGCTGTTGAATTTTGTGTCGCTGGTCAGTGCAGTAGTCCTATGAGGAACATTTTAGCTGGTTCATATTCCTGTCCATTCCAAGCACAGATGTATAGTAAAGATACCAGTTGAACTATTTATACTCTGTATACTTTTTCTCCTCGTCTGAGTTTCTCTAAAGCAGTAACGTTTGCAAGGTGGGTTTATGGTGTACGTATGAGCAGAATTGCAGTATGAGTTTCTCATAGCTTTCTGTTTTGCCCAAAACACTACCCTGCTTGGTAATATTTTTATACTAGGAATGAGGAGCGATGCATTCTTAAACCACTTTATTGCAAAAGGTCAGCTTTTTCTATTGGAATAATTGTTTCAAGCCAATAATTTGTTTGACTATTTAAAAACTTGATGTTATTTATTAACATTCCAGGCAGCAACAAAGACTGATGTGTTTTGCAGTAGAGCTTGGAATAATTTTCTGGGAACTGCATCTGAAAACAGTAAAAGGCCTATTTATATCAAGTGGAAGCTGAGGGTTGCTTGCAGATGGTGTTTTATTAGAAAATGTATTTGTTAATAAACGTAGCTTTGTACAAGATTACTTTACAGATGTTTCTGTTTATTTTTACCTCAGGTTAAAAATCTGCTGATGTAGATGGCTTCATAGGCTGTTGCGATTTGTCGCTAGCGTTGTTTGGCATGTAAATAATTGCGTGCAAAGGAAATAATGATGTCGCAAAAGCAAATACATTTTTTCGCTTTTGCCATCCATTAACACTGCGAGTCCATAGAGTTGACTTTAAACTGCAGCACTGATACCAAGTATTTTTGGAAATAGCACGTACCTTTTGCAGCTTGTATCGACTATTAAGACTGCATTTTTCTTTTTCTTTATTTTTTTGAGTGAAATCTTGGCACTGTTGAAATCAATCGAGTTGTTAGCAGTGGTGTTTTGGGCTCAGGATTTCACCCACAGCCTTTTTGCGTAGCTCTGAGAACCTCTGGTGTGAACTGTTGCTTTTGGAAAGATTCCTAGACATACAGATGAAAAATTACGTTGTGAATTTGTTGCTATAGCTGCTTTAGTTTATATCCTGTGTAGGGACCAGTGTAGTTGTATAATTAATTTCATTTATGATCAGATAAATGGTAAACTCTAGGCACTTTAGAAATGAATGGAGATAATAATCTTAAAACAGTCTGTGTTACAAGAGCGAACAATAATTTGAAGAGGGATGGAAAACCCAAAGCTGGGTGAAGGTGACAAATAACTTTCCTTTCCGATGCAGAACGTATGTCAATAGCCAGACTGATGGCTCTTATAGAGGCAAATCTCCTCCTGGGATTGGAGAGGTGGATTTTTTTTTTGGACTGTGAACTTTGGCCCTTTGTGTTTTTGCACAGATGTGTGTCCTGAATGTGATTTACCCTGCGTTCAGCAATAAAACTCCTTCCAATCCAACGTTATAGATAACTGGTTTAGTTTAAGCTTAATCAGAACTGACAGTGCACACCTGTGAAACCCATAACCTTTCCAGAATGACTGCAGCGAGTGGCTCTGTTGTAATCTTTATACAGTTGATGTGGAGGCTTATGATCCTTCGGTGGTGCTTATCAATTTATGAACCTTCCCTGGCCACCTCGAGCCACAGTGATCTGCTTGGAACAATCTTGCTTCTGCTCCACAGGTTTCCATCCCAAAACTATTCCAGGTGGTGATCACCTTCCAACTAGCAGGAGGAGAGTTATTTCTGGGAGCATTTCTCCATAATTTTTTCTGTGGCTCTCCTGGACCTTTGAGTCCATGTTTTCAAGTTGCTGAGTGTATGCATAGAGGTTGCACACCAAACAGTTTTCAGTGATTTCCCTCAAAATTTTGCATGCTGTTAAGGTGAGAAATTTTGTGAAGAAATAAAATTCCTAGGCGACAGTCCTGCAATAATGGCATCTGTTAAGATGTGCACAGTTGGAAAAGAAAAAGGCAGTTTTTGGTATCTTAAGGAGGGGAAGGGGAATAAGTAACCAAATATTTGAAGAAGCACATTTAAAAGATGAGTTCATACTGATGTGGAAATATGATCTCATTTATCATGGCTTAATGGAATAGGGTGTTGAGTGCCCTGGAAGCATTCTGCCATGTGTGAGGAAGTGATCAATTTTATCACATAATTTGTGTCACTTGAGGTGTTGCTCTGAGAATCTTTGCTCATTCGCTGGGCCCAATTCTGCCCTCAGAGATGCCCATCCATCTTTCGGCTCCTCTGGAGTGGACAACATTGTTAATGCCTCGCTGCTGGCGTGTCTGCACTGTGCAGCGCATTGTGGTTTAGCGATTTCTGAGCCTGCAGAGATTTATGGTGAGTTCACGCAGACTTACCAGAACGGGTCAGCGTGTAGAGTTAGCAGCACTTAGGCACCTGTGGCCTAATCCTTTCCACTGAGTGAATGCTGGTGTGTGATTTCCAGACCTTGACTCGCCCGCACTGAGCTAGATCAGAGCTGCCTGCGCCATGCGTGACCATTTCTGGTAGAGAAAGAGGAACAGCAGAACCTCTGTAGGCTTTCAGTTATGTCCTATAAGGATTTCTTCATGATTTTGTGATTCTTTTGATTTCCTTTACCTTTACCTTCATTTAACTTGTCAGTACTGTTTTCTGAGGGTGAAGGTAAAACAGTTTAGTGCTTGGTGCCTTGAGGGAAACCCAGTGTAATCACTAGCACCCAGGTTTGCCAGCCGCTGAGATTCAGGAGTTGTGAATCGTATGGTGGCCATAAGCCCATCGTGTGACTTCACGGGAACATGCAGAAGCACACCAGATATCATGACACAGGGTTGGTAACCATGGCCCTGGAGCTAAAACTGCAGAAAGCCTCAAGCTCTAAATGTCATTTTCTCATCCTTTCTTATTAACTCTCATCTCTTTAGTCTGTATTTACATACATACATACCTATGTATATATTGATTTTGAGCTTGCATTTAATGTTTGGTAAACTGTGGCTAGCCTGGGACATCTCAGAGAGATTTTGTATTATGTAGGATTCCACCTACTTAAATTGTGTGTTGGCAGATGATACTGACCACTCAAAGAGAACTGCACAGTTAAATCCTGTGCTTTTCTTCAAAAACGTAGAGGTTGGAGACCGCAGAAACAGCTGATCCTGTCTCGGCTGCATCAAAATCCTGAATCTTGATACCCGTATGTATATTTAAACCTCTAGGAATCAGATTATTTCAGATCGACTAACTCAGCAGGAGACAGCTGAAAGAAAGCCTCTACTTTTCAGATTGGGGTCGAAGAGAAACTACTGAGAGTACGGAGTAAAGCAAAGGGTTTTAAGGTCTGTGGGAACGTCAGGAAATGCGTTCCTGGAAAATCTTACACACAGTTCTCCAGAACAGTCCATGGATTTCCAATAAATGCTTAGGGACAGAAAATCAAGGGCATTTGAGATAATGTTTGATTCTCAAGGCAGAGTTTTTAAATCTCACTACAAAATTAGCCTCATGTTCCTACAAAGGAGCAAATGCTTATAGAACAAATTTTCCCGAAAATACAAAGCTAGGAACAATTCCAAAAGGCCTACAACATCTATGTCACCACCTGCTTAAGTAATGAAAAATGAAGAACTTCTATTTTCACTTTACTTCTAGGAAAATATTTTGATGGGTTCAGTATACTGCAAAGTGATAAGCTTCTGTTATGTGTTTCAAATCATTCTGTTATCGCTGCATGTATTGATTAGCTTATTACTTTCTGAGCTAGCTATAAAAAAGGCTGCTCTCTTTCTGCATTAAAGAGCAAGAAAAATTGACAGGTAGATAACCATATTGATTGAACCTAAATAGTAAATGCAAGAGGCTTGTGTGTGACTTACAAAACTCTCTGTAGAAACCAAAGTCAGTTTAATATATTTTTTTTAATTAAATGGAAAGTAGATGTCTTTAATTAACCAACTCCATACCCTTTTGATATACATACTACTATAGCTGCCAAATATAGTACATTACCATAGTTGCGGGCAAATCACTTTTTTCAGATGCAGGCTTTAGCTGTCCCCCAGACTCTGAGCTCTGAAGAAGAATGGGCTGAATCCCGCATTAAGCTGAAATCCCTGTGCTTGGTTCGTATTTCAAAAGTCTGAGGCCAAAAGCAAACCCAAAGTGCAGTATTTCTTGCAGTATTACAGGTTACGGCCATATGTTTTTCATTTGTAAATACTGTGAGAAGTAATGTTCTTGTGATACTTCTAAATGAAGACCATATGACACAACTCGACTGAAGACCTCTTATTGTGGCCTTTCTAAGGCTACTGTCCGGTGGCTTGGACAGTTGCTAGCAAAGCTGTTTTGCAGGGATAGCAAGAGGACAGCTTGCCTGCTTTAAATCCAACTTAAAGAAGCATATTTAAGGCCTT